GACTTCTGCCTGCTGCCTGGCTGCGGCGGGGGGGTGTCTGCGAGTTGAGAGCTAGCCAGGACTACATGGTGAATCCCTGTCTCTATTAATAAATAAATAAATAAATAAATAAATAAATAAATAAATAAATAAATAAATAAATATAAAATTTAAAAGCCGGGTGTGGTGGCGCACTCCTTTAATCCCAGCAATCAGGACGCAGAGGCAGATGAATCTCTGAGTTCGAGGCCAACCTGGTCTACAGAGCAAATTCCAAGACAGCCAGGGCTATGCAGAGAAACTGTCTCGGATAATCAAAAAATAAATAAATACATAAATAAATAAAAATAAAAAATCTTAAACCCCTCATATCATCAGGCTGCTGATGTAAGTAAATGGTGGAGTGTTTGCCAGTCATGCAAGCAGATCCTATGCTCAATTTGAGCTGTAATATTTTTCTATCCAGAATAGAGAAAAAATAAATTCATTTACCTGACAAGCTTTTTGTTGTTGTTGTTATTGTTGTGCTTTGTTGTTTTTATTTTTATTTTTGAGACAGGGAGTCTTTGTTAGGGTTACTATTGCTATGCTGAAAGACCATGACCAAAGCAATTGGGGGGTGGGAGGGGTTCACTCACAGTTCCATACAACAGTTTATCATCAAAAGCAGTGAGGGCCAGACCTGAAGCAGGGCAGGAACCTGGAGTGATGCAGAGGCCATGGAGGGGTACTGCTTACTGGCTTGTTCCTCATGGCTTACTCAGCCTGCTTTCTTATAGAACCCAGGACACCAACCCAGGGATATCCCCAACCACAATGGGCTGGGCCCTCCCCCACCAATCACTAATTCAGAAATTGCCTTACAGAGCCAGGTGTGGTGGGGCACATGCTTAATTCCAGCACTCGGGAGGCAGAGGCATGTGGATTTCTCAGAGTTCCAGGCCAACCTGGCCTACAAGCGAGTTCCTGGATAGCCAGGGATAATACACAGAGAAACCCTGTCTCACAAAACAGTTTTATGGAGGCATTTTCTCATCAGAGACTCCCTCATCTCTGATGATCCTATGTTGTGTCTAGTTGACATAAAAACCAGTCAGTACACAGTGTCTCTCTACGTAGCCTTGGTTGACCTGTAACCCACTATGTAGGCCAGGATGCCTGCCTCTGCCTCTCCTGCGCAGGGATTAAAGGCCTGTGCTATCACCCCTGGCTATCCAACAGTATATTTAAACTTGCATTTGATTCCGATTGTTTACACTGGTTCTGATGCCATACCACTTCTGCTATCTTTGTTTTGTTTGTTGCTGCTTTATTAAGTCAGGGTATCACTATGTAGCCAGACTGGCCTCCAAAACTTCCCCTCCCCACCTCTGGTTCAGAGACAGAATCTCAGGTCTCACAAATGCTAGGCAAATGCTGTGCCACTGAACAACAGCACCAATCTTTTTTTTTTTTTTTTTAATTTGAGACCAGATTTCAAGTTGCCCAAGCCAGCTTCGAACTCACTATATAGTACAGGCAGACCTTGAACTTGTGATGCCTCTGAATCCTCACTCTGCCAGCAGCTGGGACTACAGGTCCTTGCCTTAAGGCCAGGCTCTGGCCTCTCTGACCTGCTTCGGCCTCCCAAATGCTGGGATTACAGATTTGCCTAGCTCTGAATGTATTCATACACATGTAAGGTATCTCACAATTTAAAAATAGACACAGGGTTAAGGATCAATTGATAACTAGTGTTAAGGACTTTTGGAGGACTGGCCTAGATATTTCCATTGTCATTAAACATTTTGGAGCTGAGTGGTAATATGCACGCCTTTAATTCCAACAATTGGGAGTCAGAGGCAGGTAGATCTCTGTGAGTTCGAGGCCAGCCTGGTCTACAGAGTGAGTTCCCGGACAGCCAGGACTACACAGAGAAACCCTGTCTCAAACCCCCCCAAAAACAAAACAAAACACTGTGGTTTCATGGACCCTGGACATGGCAAAGTTGGTGATGTGCTTGCAATGAGGCTGTGGTGGCTCACACCTTTAGTCCCAGCACTGGGGAGGCAGAGGAAAGCTGATCTCTGTGAGTTTGAGGCCAGCCTGGACTACAGAGAAAGTGCCAGGACAGGCTCCAAAGCTTACAGAGAAACCCTGTCTCAAAAACCAGAAAGAAAAAAAGCAAGAAAAGTTGGCTCAAAGTTCTAATAAAACTTTTTTTTTTTTTCTCCAAAACATGGTTTCTCTGTGTAACAGCTCTGGCTGTCCTGGAACTCACTCTGTAGACCAGGCTGGCCTTGAACTCAGAGATCCCCTGCCTCTGCCTCCCAAGTGCTGGGATCAAAGGTGCGTGCTACCACCACACGGCAGAGATTCTTAAAAATAGACATATCAATTATGTTTGGTAACATAGTCACCCAGGACTGGAGTCAACCAGTCTGGTCTCCAGGCCACCCCAAGGGCCACTTTCCTGAGCTCTGAGTGCCTCTGAGGAGTCCTGGGCTAAGGGAGCTGATCTGGCGGAAGCCCTGCAGGCACCCTGGTTTCCTGGTCTTCCAAATTCACTTTAGGTCTGAGGAATCATGGCTGTAATCTAGCCCTGCTTTTCAGTCACAGCCATGGTGAGTACCTGACCTTGAATGTCGCTGAGGAGCAGAGATGGGGAACCTGGAGCTGTAGAGATGAACCCCGTCTTACAGGGGCCACAGCTTCCCTCTGTGTAGTCTCCCTGCTGGACTTGCCATCTTTCACAAGGTGTTGGAAGGGACCATGGGATGGCTTCTTCCAACTATCAATGTGTGAATTTTTTCCTGGGAGGAGGAGTGGCAACTGTTGAACCCCCACACAGAACAGCTGTACCGGAGAGTGGTAGTGGAGAAGTCCAACCTCCCCGGGACCCTTGGGTACATCAATACCCTAACCCTAGCATTTCAGAACACTAGAAGTGAGCATGTTGCCGACCCAGTTACATCCGGGCCTTTCAGATTAAATATGGGATCAGGTGGAATTGCATTCAGAAACCAAGGCACATGAATAACAGCAGACAGCTGTGAACGTGCAGTGTTTGTCAAACTGCCTCTTAGTACGACCTGTGTGCTCAAGACAAGATCTTCATCCTGGGATAACACGGGAGGGCTCTGAAGTACAATGCAGATTTCACAATAATCTTGATGGAAGAAATCATAGTGGTTTTTCATGCACACGGGTCATCATTATTTTCTAAATGTGAGGAGACTCTTTTTGGGGTAAAATACTATGAAAGGAATGAATCTGGAAGAAAAATCGACACACATTAAAAAAATACAATGGCTGGGCATTGAGGCAAATCTGGCAGAGGCAGGTGGATCTCTGTGAGTTTGAGGCCAGCCTGGTCTACAGAGCAAGTTTTAGGACATCCAGGGCTATACAGAGAAACCCTGTCTGGAAAACAACAGCAAACACAAACAAATAAGTAAAATAAATAAATGAGAATGAACAAAAATTGTCACATAGTAATTGCGCATATTTATGGGATACAATGTAACACAAGACAGTAATTCAAAAGGGAAAGGTGGACCAGTGAGATGGTTCAGTAGGTAAGGATTCTGGCCACTAAGGAGGACCACCTGAGTTTACCTGCGTTTGACTCCTGGAAACCAGACAGTGGGAGAGAACTGACTACTGAAAGTTGTCTCAAAACTTGTCCTCAAAGCTTTACCTGTGTGAGGGCTGGGCATGGTGGCTCATACCTGTAATCCTGGGTAAAAGCAGGAGAATTCAGCTCAAGTTCAAGGAGAGCCTGGCCTACATAGTGAAACCCTATCTCAAAAAGACAAAGGAAGGGGCAACAGAGTTTCAAAGGAAGAGTGGGTTCATACACTAGATTCAACTCCAGCACCCCGGTGCCCTGCAGCTGAAGCAATCCATAAAAGCTGATAGGAGGGTGGGGACATGGAGGCCAGGCAGGCAGTGCAGGCGGGAATTCATTTCCTCCTGGATATTAAAGATGATATCAGGCAGGCGTGAGGCTGCCGGGGCACTGGTGCTGTTATGGGCTGTTCCAGACAGAGCTCTATCTCAAGGTGCATCTGCAGACCAGTTTGTGAATGCAATAAAGCAAAGTCTGGCACCATTCTGGATCTCCTTCCCACCCCTCCATAGCCCAGCGGACTGGCTCTGCCCCAAAAAGAGACACTGTAGTGCCTTGTGATGGTGGCTTAGTCTAGTATCCAATTTCTAAAGTTCTTTACTTAAACACACACACACACACACACACACACACACACACACACACACACACACACGCGAAGGAAAAAAGAAGACTGTATTGGAACTGGGGAGACAACTTAGTTAAGTGTTTATCGTGCAAGTGTCAGGACCTGAGTTTGGATCCCCTACACCCAAGTAAAAGCCAGGCAAGGTGACCTAGAGCTGGTGGGGA